TTGGGCTACAACAAACATTTTCAGGATGGTTATATCCTCTTACCAGAAAAAAGCTTCCCTAAGGGAGACTTAATTACCTATTGAAAAGTGATAAAACATTTTGGAGCCATGTAATTATCAGTCCTGAAGGAAGTATTTGTTTTGGACTCAACAATAGCAGTACAGTTGCTATATTTACGGAACTTCCCTAAGGGAGACTTAGTTACCTATTGAAAAGTGATAAAACATTTTGGAGCCATGTAATTATCAGAGTCCTGAAGGAAGTATTTGTTTTGGACTCAACAATAGCAGTACAGTTGCTATATTTACGGAACATAGTTGCCAAAATAAGCATTTTCATTAGCTAGCAGATGGTTTAGTTATCAGGTTGGATTTTTGTTTAGTTAAAAGTTTTTCTTCTTTTTTTTGGCTTGAACCTTAGTTCTTTTTAGAAACAGTTACTAATGTCATTTACCTTTGTGTGTCTCACTTCCCCCAACTAAAAAAAGTGAAAAGATTTGTAGTTTCTTTCACATTTCTTCTGTGAAGCAGCTACTGAGAATGGCCAATTTTGGTGTTCCTCCAAAATGTTTCCATTGGTTCATCTGAGAGCACAAAATTAGATCTTTTTCCCTAATAAGCTTGAGTAAGGTGGCTAAAGACAATTATTTAACTATGAAATTGTAATTTCCTATATTTTACACAAAAATGAAGTTGAGAAATAGACATTTGGGAAATAAAATTTAAGGATACAGTTGTTCCTAATTACATTTTTCTTTGTTGTAAACTTATATCTCAGCTCAAAACAAAATTTTTTAAATTCTTGATCATGTACAGTTTAACTGTTATGTTTGACTTATTTTTTGAGTTACAGGAACATTTTTCAGTATTTTTTTTAACATTGATAGGTTTCTAATAGCATAATGTGCTGTCCTGTTCAATTTCATGTTAAAACATTTTGAAAATGTTTGCTTATCTTCATAATTTTAGAGAAAATATTCATTTTCAACTCTTAAACAGATTTCTGTTATCTACTTGAGCAGTTTCCAACTGTGTTGACTAGAACACTAATATTCTATTAGGTGGTAATAGCTGTTCTGTGTAAAAATTTCCTGCTACTGTTATCTTTTTTTTTTTCCTCCAAAATTTATTTATTTATTTATTTATTTTT